CACAGATGAGACAGATAATTCAAAACTGGAGGAAAGTGAAAAACTCTTTTTAGGTTTGAATTTTTAAGGTAGTTGGAAGTAGACGAAGACAACGAAAACCTGCACAAGCAGATGTGCCAGTCCCACCTTTCTCAGCAGCTGCCTAAAATTGGGCTTCGCCCTTGAAGTGGAGGTGGGGAGTGGGAGGAAAGGGAACCAGTTCCATACCCGACCTTTGCCCAGCAGGGCTTCACGGCGCTAGCAGCTTCCCCACTGTTAACAAGCCCGTTAGGCGCGATAGTGCACTAAGCCAGAGGTGGCGATCCTGTCTCTTTCACTTGCCTTCTTCAACATGATGCAAAATGCGATCATGGTCTTTGTTTAGGACTTTACTAAATAAACAGCCCTTGAGTTTATGTTCAATCAGATATTCATGTTTGTGCAGGCGTTACCCATGTTTGTACCGGCTCCATCTGTGATGTGGCTACTATCTAAGAATACAAGGGGACACTTGGAAACAGGCTTATTAATGTTCTCCACGGTGTTTCCCGGAGGATAACGGAAGATCAGCCCAGAGAACCACTGAAAAATGCTTAATAAATAGAAAATACATTATCTATATTTTATCTTGTGTATGTAGTAAGGTTTTGTTTACATGATAACAAAATAAACAGCAATCATGTATAAAAGTATTAATTTATACTAAGTATTAAACTAAATAAGTAAATAACCTAAAAGAAATAATACTAAAGATTATCTGAAGAGCTATTATCTGAAGTGTCAATAATTTCACATAAAGATTCCAACTTCAAGGCATTATAAAACTTGATTCCTATGGCTCATCTACAGAAAAACAAGGGCCAGGATCCCAGGATGTGCTATCAGTATCTGAATCAGAGCCTGCCCTTCAGGGATATCTTTTCAGGTTTTGCTTTTCTCATTCCAGGGTTTATATCTGACTGTAGCAACAGGTGTATGGGAAGGGAAACGTGATCTAAAAGGGCAAAGGCCACTTCCTTCTTCTGTCTTACACTGGCTCAACTGGCAGTGTGATTGCAGGCCCCTGGCATGTGCACTCTGGCGGCCCAGCCCAGCTGTCCTGAAACTTGGCTGCACAAAGCTCTTGGGCAGGTGTTTGGCATGGTGCTTCTTACAATCTCCAGCCGGGACCAGCCGCTAGCAGGCAAATCCAAGGACAACAGTCCCTGAGCATACATATTTGGCACCTACTATGGCTGGATAAACATGGATCACAGTGTCTATTTCACAGGCTAGAGAGAAAAAGAAGTTTCTAATAAGCCCCAAACAAATGCAAATCATAAAACAGGATGCATAAAAAAGCAAAACAAAACAAAACAAAAGACAACCAAGAACAACAGAGAAAAGATAACTCAGCTATCTGGCTTTTTTGAAAAGGTGACAGGGAGGCTGAGTAGTGAAAGACAGAATGAGTCGGGAACACACGAACATAGGAAAGGAGATTCTAGGCAAGGGAGACAGCGTTGGCAAAGGACTTGGGCAGGAATGGGGTTGGGAGGGAGGACAACAGATTTCCAAACAGAGAGAAGGTCGTGATGAGAACGGTGTGGAATATGAGCAGGGTGGTAACAGATCACAGTCAGGAGTTTAGATTTATAGAAAGAACAGTGGGACATGAATCAGAGTGTTATATCCCACTGTACTTTATATAAATCTAAACTATGATCTATGTGCTAGTTTTAAAAAATCACGAGGGCTGCTGTGAAGGAAACGGGTTGAAGGAGAAAAGTTGAAAAGAGACTAGAAAAGAGACTTTGATGAGTCAGAAGAGGATCCTGTTAGCAGAGATTCAGAGACACTGACTTGGTAAACACTTTGGTAATCAACTGCGTGTGATGAAGAAAGAAGAAATGTTAAGATCAGCTTCTAAGTTTCTATTTGGAGATACAGATGGGTAAGGATGGGGGTTTCCTGGACTGAGAAAACTAGAGGAGGGGGCAGAAGGGTAAGTTCAATAGCTTGTTGATGGACGCATTCAGTTGTAAATACCACCTGTGAGCTATCTGGGCGGAAATGTCAGGTAGGTTACAAGATGTGAGTGGAAATGCAGAAAAGGGTTGTGGGCTAGAGACGCGCCTATAAGCTGAGCACGGTGGCACATGCCTGTAATCCCAGCACTCGGGAGGCTGAGGCAGGGGGATCGTTGCAAGTTCAAGGCCAGCCTGTGCTACAAAAGTGAGCTCAAGGCCAGCCTGAACTGAGACCCTGTCTCAAAAAGACACGAAATAAATAAATAAATAAAAGGGAGACATGTATATAATAATCATCAGTACATACATCTTATTTGGAGTCACTGGCATAAAAGAAGGTGTGTGCACAAGAGAAATGGTTTTTGATTAAAAGGGAGTATTACAGAAAAAGAGTGACAGAAGGTAAACTATAGAAGTCTGGTCCTCAGAAGCAAAGATGGAGAAGAAAGTTTTCTTCTGTACCAAACGCTGTTCATGAGTGTGATCCGGAGAACACTGAGGAGCCCCAGTGGGCTGCAAAGTGCAGTGGTCTTCAAGAGTCAGTAAAAGAGAAAATTCCTGGGGTCGTGGAGGTCTGTGCCAAGTGGGATGGGAGACAGAGTCAGTTTGGAAATGAGGAGGAAGAGATAGTGTACTCGTAAGTTTGAAGACTTCATGTTGAACAGAAGAGAAAGTAGATTATTTTTATATAGTGAAGAAGTAGCTTACTTTTAAATGGTCATAATTTTTCAAATAATAATGGAGGCAAGCTGGTCATAAAGGTCTAGTGAACTGGCAGGGATTGTGCAAAAGTCCTGAAGACCCGCAAAAGTGTGATGGGATGACGTTCAGACCTACCCGAAAGGACTGGTCTTTGATATCAGGACAGAACCTTCCTTAGTTGTGAAAAGATTAGATGCTTCCAATTTCTCACTAAAGCAGGTGGTGAGATCATCTCTGAGCCACTGGGAGGAAAATGGGCCAGAGATTTTAACAGACTGAAGATACAAAATAGCTGTATCATAAAATGTCAAAACAAGTTTATCGGAGACAGATAACAGTGCTGTCGAGCAGGGCTGAGTCCATTAGAGCTTGGCTGTAAAGGCGAGGTGTTAATATCACATTTCCTGGCCTTATTTTCACACCCCGTATCCTCTCTGCAGCCTCTCAAAGTCAGTACGTGCCATTTTTACACTACATGAGGACACAGTAATTCCACCTGCCATGAGCAATGACCCCCCAACAGCTACGTGAGCCAGTCCTCTACCCCAAGCCCTGCAGGCCCCTCTCCTTGCATTGCTTTGTCAAACCACCAAAACAGCAACAGCTGGAGGTGGCTCCTTCACCTGTTCCTGCCCGTGTTCTGGGAGGCCCCCCTCTCCCTTGGGTGGAGGGCACAGCACACCTTTCTCCAGGGAGTGAGATTCCCCACTGACACAACTTGCTTCACTTTTGTGCAGAACCTGATGCTACCCACAGACAGATAAATAGATTTGTAGGCTGGGCCATAAGTGAGCTAAACAGAGATCAAAAACTGCACGGAGGAGGAAGACAGAGTTTACACGGTATATGAAACTCCATCCCAACTTCTACAAGCTTTCCAACAGGACATAAACAGTAGCACAGTCGCTACAGTATTCCCTAAACTAATTTGTATTTACCTTATAGTAAAATGCTACAAGTGCCAAACGAGGTGTGTGATACCTCCAACAAAAGCTTTTGACTATCATCAACGCAGAAAAACATAAGCCGTTAACTGAATTCTGGGAACACTGAGACGATCAGTCCTTTTACTTGTTTTGTGAATATCTAAAAAAAAGATACCTGCTACTCAAATATATTCACTATTTCAAAGACTGGATGTAAAATGAACACATTAAAGGTTAATATGACAAGGCTGTGTAGTTTAATTGTGACTGGTAACCACTGCCTTATTGCGGTAGGCAGTGCCTCAGTCTCATAATTATGATAGGTAACCAAAAAATTGAAGTGTAGCTTTTAATCCAACTTCCATTTTTGACAATATCACTTGGAACTCATTCTTCGGTACCAAGATCAAATGTCCCTATTTATGCATCTCAAACAATTAAGAGCATATAAAGGAAGTCACATTTAGCAGACTTTTTTTCCACACATGACCCCTAGAACTTATTCAAATTGAAACCTTTTTTCTTTTTTCTCAGTTTAGTAAAGAATGTGATAGGCCGGGGAAAAATTAAATCTCATTTGCTTTTTGCTTTCCCAATTTCATTTTTAATTTTAAGCTTAGTTCAGTTGTAACCAAGTCATAAAGACAGAAGAAGGTGTAATATTTCCAAGGACGGGGAAAACTCATAAACAGACAAACCAACTCGTGGAATTCTAAATCTGCGAATTATTTTCCATACCTTGTCTACCAGTCATCAGTTAACATTCAGGTTGAGGCCTGAAATGTATAAGCAGGATTTCACCCAAGCTAAGTGTCACCTGTTTCTTACAGATAGCTTCTATTTGGCAGTGTGTGAGGACATCCCCATGCTCAGAAAAAACATTTTCAAAGAGCACTGCGCTTGCATTGGAGACAATAGCAAGGCAAGGCAAGTGAGATAAATGGCTTTCATTATTAGTTTAATAAACAGAAAAATAAAAGAAATAAAAGCAAGTCTGTTTGAATATGCCTAAGCCAACCCGAAAGGACACAAGTGACAACAAAGTTCAGTATTTTAAAAAGAAAAAACTGACGCTTAAAAACACAGTGAAATCAGAAGAGTAGAAAGAGTGATTGGAAATAAAAAACAACTCAGTCAACTTAAGTAGAATGAGATGCCATGAAATATCAGCTTCCAAACTATATGGGCTCTGCCGCCCAGTACCTGACATTTTTCCATGACAATTTATGACCTTAGGACTTTTCTCTAGTGACACTGTCTCTGGGATTATGACACACAAATCCAAAATCATGAGAATGGTAAAAATCATGGGAACATTTGTATTTAATCAACTGGAGACACCTTTACCCATAAAACTCACATTCTGACACAAATTTTCTTTTACCTTGGTCTTTTCCCCAACGATGTTCTTTTCCAGTTCTGCTATTTTCCGGTTTAGATGATCCAAAATCTCCTTCTCCTTCATTAGTTCAGTTGTCTCAGATTTCTGCTCTCCGTCCAAAAGGGCACATTCCATATCCAACTAAGGACACAAAACAGATCTCAGCAGCATTTCCCCTCCAGGAATATTCTCAATTGCCCACTCTGAGATACATGCTTAATAGCTAAAACTTCCAAAAAGCCCTGATGGATCACCCGGACTATGGAACACAGAATACACTCTAAAGCGCCCCTGGGAGGGTCAGGATTCCTACATAAGGAAGCTGCAGAGTCCAGAATGCATTTGCTAAGAAAACTAGTTATCTTTCAGCTGTGTTAATACAACCCTCTTTCTGCTAACTTCTTAAGCACAGGCATAAACCGCCTTGGAAGAAGCTATGGCTTTGTCCCTACAGTACGAGTGAAAGTTACCCCAGCCCACCACTTGCGCTCTGCATTCCTAGCAATGCCAGCAGGAGAGGCTTCTAGGGCCCATAAACAAGATGACAGGTGAACAGCCCTCTTATCACTGTGGGGCTTTGGGGACCACCTGTGAGCACAGACATTCAGATCTCCTTAGAATGAAATGTTTGCTCCACGGTGGTAATATAAAAATTGTCATTATCTTCTAATACAGCTAGAGTGTCTGTCTGCTACGTGTTTTTCAAATCTCTAGAAAGCTTGGTTTATATTTAATTCACATGTGAATCCCTCTATCATGCTAATATGATATCTGACTCATAGGACGCATACTCAGAAAATGTTTGTTTCATTTCACCTTGAACACCTAAATATAGGGTACTTCAGACAACAGATCTTGTAAACAGAGAGCACATACAGCAGTAGTTAAGACAAAATTGGCTGCACCTAAGATACATTAAAGAAGGCTTTATAGGTCTATCTCAAGTATTTAAAAAACAGAAAGAAAGAGGAATGTAAACAAGGGCATATTTTACCCTATACTGGCACCCACTGAACAAATGTTGGATGATGTCACCCTCTATGTATCTATTGTCCAAGACCCATGTTCTCATGAGCAGAAACATTTGTAAGCTAAAGAAAAGGAGTTTATACCTCTCTGGAAGATTCATCCATCTGGTCATTTATATCTTTGATCTTTTGTTTGAGCTCTTCAAGGTTGTTCAGAATTACTATCCGGGTGTCCTCCATTGCAGCCAACTCCTGAGCTCTCTGTTCTTCACTCATCCCTTCTGGGGTCTGTGATTAATCAACAGATATGGGTTATTCACACTTCAGTTCCAGAATTTCCCGATTCCACTCATGAACCAGCTGTGGGCCTAATGTTTCATCATCTTCACGCCCACATAAATGCTAAAAACATCTCTCAAAGGGCTTAGGAGGATCTCTGATACATTTACCTGGACATCCATCCTCAGCAGTTACGTTCTTAGATAAGCTCAAACTAACCAATCTCAATTGACAAATTCATATCCTGAAAGAACTAGGAGGCTACACAGATGAGGAAGCTGTGCCATATAAAGACTGAAGTAGCTTCTCCAATGTTACAGGAAAAGTTCAGCATATCAGAGAACTTGAACCCAGACAGCACATCTTCCTTAGGAATCTTCCTGAGTACACTGCTATCTTTAGCTCCATATTCTCCCCATCTTCTACAAAATTCTCTTGACTCTCTAGCCATAGAGTGGGTCTCACTGCTACGCTGTCTATAAATGAGCATCCATGCTTATTTATTATGTTTCCAATCCAAGGTGGGAAAACAGGGCATGTCACATTGCTGAGTCCCAAAGTGACTTCAAACTACACACTCAGATTTTGCTAGTTGCTGTGTCACTTTTTGTATTACTGCAGCATTTCCTGTTTGCCATATAGACCTTCTTCCTATATAATATTGAAGATACCAGCCAAGCCAAGTGGGCTTTATGACTGAAAACAGGACATAAGCCAGCATTTGTTCCATGGAAAATCTGAGTTCCTGGCAAGGAATGAACTGTGGGAGAAAAGACATACTTAAAGACTTGAATAGCGGTAATGACAAATGCTCAAGGAAGAAAGCAATATTGTGGGTCATATACACAGCAAAATATGACTGCATACTGTTTAAGAAAAGGCTGTAGTAAATTCAGAACATCCTCTTTTTTTCTACAATTCCAGGTTAGCTCTCTTGGGTATCACGTAAAGGAGACCAGACTTTCTATAAAGCAAGAGATACCAGTATTGGTATATTATTTATTAATTTTTATCTCTCTTTGAAAATGAAGTTTTAAAATAAATCCTTAATTAGATAATTCCACAATTAAAAAATTGAAAACTGTCCAGTTAAGTCAATTACTGGAGATTCCTCACTAATCATTAGAAAGAGCATTGAACTTAACCAAAGGAACTTCTAAAATTTAGTTTATCTCAACAATCAGAGAGGTTATATCCACTCCGCAGCCTCTCAGAGTCAGTGCGTGCCATTTTTACACTACGTGAAGACACAGTAATTCCACCTGCCAAGAGCAACTAAGCCCCCAACAGCTACGTGTGCCAGTCCTTTACCGCAAGCCCGCAGTCCCCTCTCCTTGCACTGCATTTAATTTATTTATCAATCTTTATAACTTTAAGAAAATATTCATTGTGCCATATTATACATTCATTAGTCTTTATTATGCAGCTCCTTAAACAGATTAAATGACTGAGAATTCAGTATCTCAGGTTAGTTAGAACAAATGTGCCTGAGCCTTCCAAGTTCTGACATTTAGCTTAATTGTCATCTTAAATCCAGTATCTTACCAACTAATGAAACAACTGCTGACCTTTTCATAACAAACAATGAAACTCATTGTCTTAATATGTGGGTGCTGATTTTAGGCCATGAGAAAAGTCGGTAACAGTGAATGGCATTCCCAAATCACTGGCCAGTAATCCTAGCAGGAAGGCCTCACCAAGGCCAGTATCCTGTTGGGTCAACATGACATATTAAGTTTCTACTTCCAACATGGTTTAAAAATATCTCTCAGTGGTGGAAGGAAAGCATTAAGAAAAGACAAAACAACCGACCAAGCTACACAACTATAAACTTTAGAAATAACCAGGGACAACAATTAGCAGTGAAAATTTTAAATATTTTTGTATCTCCAACTTTTTACAGGGCATCACAATAGGTATATTTAATAGATAATTTAAGAGACTCCTTAGAGTAATTAAGTGCTATCTAGGAAATACCTGTGAAGCTTTTTGTTGTTGTTGTTATACATAAGAAAAAAAATCTTTAAGAGACATTCTAGGAGCTAGGGATATAGTTCAGGGGCACAAGTGCCTTCCTGGCAAATGCAAGGTCCTGAGTTCGATTCCTGATACCAAAAAAAAAAAAAGTCTACCTCAAGAGACATTCTAAATTTAATGCTTTATATTAAAATGGTGTTAAAATAATGTAATCTCATTAACCAAAAAAGAAAACGAAAAAAGCCAAGGTATAGCAGCCACTGAACAGCTTTAATCTTATAGTGATAGAGAAAGTTCGATTTTAAACATAACACCTTTCACTGTAATTCCTCCGGAGTAATTTTTAAAGTAGTGGCCGAAATCCACTGGAACAGTGGCACATTTTAATAACCACACCACACATATATGTGCATCCTTGATACACCATCTTGAAAGTAACTTGACTCGCATGGGGAAGGGACACACAAGAAAGGGTAGGGACAAGACACTTGCCCCTTGTCCCCTTTTTCTGCCGATCACTTTAGAATGCAACCAAAGGAGGTCAAGGCACAGGGATTTCCTCTGTAGCTAAAACAACTGCTGTAACACAAAGGATGTAAAAGATATGGTGGGAGGTACTCCCAGTAAATCAGCTTTTGCCTCAGGTGGTAATAGGCTCCCAAAGGCTGGTTATAATTAGTGTATTTCCATGGTCCTGTACGTCTTTAAGCGTCAGGTAATGTACAAGAAGTGATGAAAATATACAGGGAATGTTTAAATCTTAAATATTTGTTCCAGGAAAAGACGCACTGCTATTAATCTTCCTCAAAGTATTCTCCCTTTCTTCAGATACATTTCTCCCATCATTCTTGCCACTTTCTGAAGCAGTTCTGGAAGTCCTCTTCCATGAATGTTTTCTAACATAATGCTTTTCACTTTGATTTCGCTGGGCTGATCAAAAATACAGTGAATGCCGCTACTGAGTGCCATCTGATGGAAAGGCAGGCGTGTACAAACATGACAGAGTGTCCGCATCACTTTCTTCACTCTCTGGCACCATTCGACTTCCAGGTCTTCCCCAAACTCAAAATGACCATGAAAAAGTAAGTGTCTTAAATCGATCTGGAACACCAAGGGACCAGTGTAACTAAAGATACTCACAGAAGAGGGCTTTCAGCACTGCTTCAAATTGGCAAGAACGACAGGATGAGTGTATTTGAAGTAAGGAAGAATATTTTGGGCGGAATAAAGGGCCATATGTCTTTTACGTAAGATTTTAAAATTTAAACACTCACCACATTTTTAGATCATAAATTCCAGATTAGTAAATCTCAAATTTCTTAAATATCATAAGATCTTGTTTACCTAAATAAATTTTTCACATTCTTTTCTCCCCCATTTTGCTTAACCTGTAAGTCAGCTAACAAATGCTACTGTCTAGTTCGTGAAACAGTTCTCCACTGGGCAGATGGCTGAGACAGCAAGCACTTCCAAAATAAAAAGGAGGTTATTTGTTTTTGAGTCTTCTGTCCTTTTTCAAGTCAATATATACCTGCCTTTGAAAAACACTAAGAGAGAATTCATTCCTAGGAGCCGGCTAGCCTCCCCCTTGCACGCCCAGCTACCACAAGGTACCCTGAGGGGCCCTGGAGGTGTCCCCATCTTGAAAGGATGCGGGCTTCTGTTTCTTGTGACCATGGATGCTGCTCTCACTTCCAGAAGATTCCTTTTCCACAAAAGTGTATCTGAGCAACTAGAAACATGTGGCAGATCTGCTTATTCACACTGTATAGCTTTCTCCTCAGCTTTCCTAGGAGGAAACCTGTTCCTAAGAAATAGTCTTTGGAGAGAACACGTAGCTCAGTATTGTGAACAAAAATTAGGAAAATACAGACTCCCCTAAAGAACGGTCCATGTAGAAGTTACTGGCAGAATTTAACTCCATGATTTTCTTTTCCCTCAAAGGATCAGTTTGTGTCCTTCTCTTGTAACAAAAAATTAACTAATGGATGTTTTTCATTGGTGTTGTTCTGTGGTCACAACTGCCACAATTCTCAGAGTTGAACTTAATGGTGAGAGCTACTCCTTAATTAATCATGTTTATTTTATTTTATTTTATTTTTTTTGGTTGTGGTTTTTCTCTGGTACTGGGAATTGAACTCACAACCTTGCGCTTGCCAGGCAGGTGCTGTACCACTGAGCTAAATCCCCAGCCCCCATCATGTTTATTCTTAAATAAATCAATCTACCTTATACACGTGGTATCTGTTTTTTACTCTTACTTTGGTGCTCTAATTTCAGTCCAGTAAAGTGTACCTATTTTATTGTAAGCTCCTTCAAATTCTTTTTAGAAAAGAAATAGGAATTTTATTTCATTTCATGGGAAAATTCTTAACCTGTGTGAAAAAAAGAACAGCAAAAACAACTGTCTTTGCATCCCATTTAAGAAATCCTCAACCACTTTGAAGATACCACCATGTATTACAGCAGCCATTGATATTTTCCTACTAATCTATCCATAACTGTGTTAAGTTTGTAATGTTCCTATCCTATTTCACAATGTATGTTTATTATTATGTGTTTCCTACAACAACCATTGAGAATAGTTAATGATTTTTCAGTTGGTCACTCATGTATAGCTCTATTTATTTTCTTTAGAAGCCAGTTTGAAGATACCAAAGTATAGCACAACAACTCTTGATAATCTCCTACCTCTTTTGTCTCTAACTCACTATTATTTGTCTATTTGTTTTCCTGAGAAACTATTTTGTAGATAATAATATGTAAAACGATAACCATTGATAATTTCCTACCATTTTGTCTGTAATTTGCTAAGTCCCCCCTATTATGTTATCCTTCTTTTATTCTTTAAAATTAAAAAAAAAAAGAAATCCTCAAATTTGGAGAGTATTTAAAAATCAACATATAGTGAAAAATGCAGTTAATAATAAGGGCTACAAATAAATGCCATTATTACATGCCCCCTCCAAAATATCGTGAATAAATCAACAGAAAGACCACTCATGACAAAAAGACTGACTTAGTTTCACAAACAGGTGTTACTATTCAGTAAACAGAAGCTAAATGAAACCATTTCTTCAAAACGGATCAAAAATTACAGATAATAATTTAAAATAGGAAAATAATGCCCTACTTCATATATAGTGAGAAATTAGAACATATACCAATGTGGCAAACTGAACATTTCTGTTCAGGGCTGGGGATATAGCTCAGTGGCATAAGCGCCTGCCTGGCAAGTGCAAGGTTGTGAGTTCAAGCCCCGGTACGGCCAAAAAAAAGAAAAAATTTCTGTTCACATGTAATGTTGGCAAGCGTATGGAAAACAAGGTACAAAACTGTCAGCCACAAATGTAGCCTTTTTGGAACTATGAAAATGAACAGTATATAAACTCCTTAGTTTCATGTTAGGTAAGTGACCCCACAAACACATTTGCACACATGAGCAAAAATATATATCCTACAATTTTGGCTGCAAAGAAACTGGAAACAATGTCTGCACAATAGAATTCTAAGCTACTGAAAAGCATGAAGAAAAGCTATGTGTACTAATAGGCAAAGATGCCCAAAACATTTAGTGAGGTAGAAAATACATAACACTGTGCATGTAAACGTGTGTCTATAACTACAATTTATAGCTATACATGCACAGAAAACATTAGGAAGGCAGGTAAGACACTTAATGTTGATTTCTCAACTGTACAACTGGGAAGGAGCAGGAAGAGAAGAAACTTTTCTTTCTGCCTTTTTGCGTGGCTACAGTAGCTCTCACAGCCCAAACTGGTGACTTTATGGCAAGTACCCTAATTTGCAGCACCCTGTCTGGCTAATTACCTCTTCAACTGAAGCTTCCTGGAGAACATCAGGAAAATTTACATAAGATATTTAGTTATCAGACCAAAGCACACGCATGGCCCTAGGGGCCCTGCGCGGTGGTCTCTGCCCCCAGCATTACCTTTGGTAGGATACTTAGGTAAGAGGACTCGCTGGCAGCTTTCAGAAAGGCAGAGGCGGGTGGTGGCGGGGTCCTGGTGAGCTCCCGGAGCAGTTCATCGTTCCTCATGCTCCTGGGGGCGAGGAGGCTGCCACTGCTCTGACTGAGGCTCCCGAAGCCCACCAGGTCAGCGTCGTGGAGAGCGCCCCTCGGGTGGCACCGGTATCTTGTGTCGGGGCACACCAGGGCTTCTTCAAACACGGACTCCTCATCGGAGAGCTGCAGCTTCTCCAGTTCTTTGTTGATTTTCTGCACATCTGCCACAGTGGTGCCCGTGGACAGGCGGCCGTCAGGCTTGGTGTACTCGGCACAGAGGCTGAGGATGGTCTCCAAGCGCTGTCTCTCCTGGAGCACACAGAGAGGATCGGGTCAGCGAGCCTGTGAGAATGGAGACCACTCCAAACAAAGGCTGAAGAAGCTGGTGTCTTCATGCCACGCATCAACCCACGCTAAACTGGAGAAAATTCTCCATCATCTTTCATGGATACATCATAGTGCTATTGCCTTCAGTGTCTGATTTTCCTCCTAGTCAAGTCTGGGCTGTCACCTTTCTCTGCACTGCATATCCCACGGTGGACTCGCTCATCCCTCAGTAAGCCTTCTCTTGACTTATCAAGTCTCCAAAGATCTTTAAAATCTCTATTCTTTATCCATCTTTCTTCCCATCTTCTATTGATCTACCTTCAGAAATACCTAACTCCTTTGTCACTACAAACTTAAGCTTAAAATTAAGCCTTAAAATTAAGTCTCTAACTTCTAGAAAAATTCTGTTAGATACATAGTGAGGTTAAAAGGTACTTAAAGAATCTTTTAATTTAAAAGATATACATATGCCTTAACTTTAAAAAAAATTCTTCAAAAATTTCTAATTTTTTTTATGCCTGGCCATGATGTCTTTTTCCCTAGTTTCTCATAGAAGTAACTAAAAATATTAAAAAGTATGACTGTTACACTCAAATGAAAACCATTTCAAGTCCAGACAGAAAGACGTCAGTGTTGCTTAAATTCTGAGATCATTAATGTTTGATTCATTTAGTTAGAAAATAAAGTAATAGTTCATTTGTTTAGAAAAATCTGTCTATCTACCTAGACCACTGATGTCTATAATACTACCACCAGTTCGTGCCTCATCAGACTTCCCATGCAAAGCAGGTAAATATTTATAGTTTTTAACTTCAAGTAAATTCATTATATTTTGAGCAATAGAAAATAACTTACAAAATGCTTCTCCTAAACCTACACAGCACTGGTAGGGATAGGGAACTCCAACATCTTTACCTTCCACTTTAATTCCAATGCCAAAAGTGAGGGCGGAAAAAAACAAAGACCATGTGTTGTAATTACATTTCCCACGTTGAAAAAGAGACTTCAAAAGCTCCCCATACAAAAATACTTTTCAAACTACTTATTAGTAATAAATAAGGACTTATTAAATAGCACTAGGCTGCTATTTTTATTCCAATTGCAGCTAACTTGTAAGATAAAATCCAGAGAGTTTTTTATTAGTTGAGAGAGTAACAAGAAGAAAAGTCAGAAAGGAACAGACCAATCAACTCCTTGGTTTTCATTAACTAGATTAATTAAATGACCAGTTAAACGACAGGTATATCTGACTGATAGCCTTCTCAAAAAGAGGTAGTAGCCTGACCAAAAAGACCAGTATACTAGTTCCCATAAACTCCCACCTCCCTTTCACTGCCTGAACATCTGGACTCCAGCTGCGGCTCCGTCCTCATGGCCCCCTTGCAGGACAGATGATCACAGTGACAGGACCGTCACTGCAGATCACAGTGACAGGCTCCCTCCAGGAGCCTGGTGCTTATATACATCTGCAGCTGCCACCAGCTGCCAAGCCCTACCCATCTCAGCCTCATGAGGAGGGGCAGGGGGACATGGTACGTTCTGCCTTATTTTAAACACCTCCAACAATAAAGAAAAGAAAAACATGCTGCAAGGGCGTGGGTGAGGACGGGGACAAAAAGTTATCTTACCCCTTCTCTGAAGTTTTCCCCCATATTAGAGGTTAATCTCCAAAGAAGAGTTCCCTTTCGGTTAGTCAGGCAATTAAACTGAAGCATTTAAACTCAGTCTTTACTAAGTTTATATCAACCTTGCCCTGTGTACCTTTTGTGTTTCTCTGAAAGTTACCAATTTTCATGAATCAGGGCGCCAACGAATGATACCCTCTTCAAAAGCATGCAGGTTACTTCTGCCTAGATTGGAATACGTAGCAAAATTCCTCCATATCTCCTTCCCACAATTAGTTTCTTTTGCTGCCAGTGCTATTGCTTAATTCCAGCAGGAATACATGATCTGGGCCTTAAGATGACTGCTATTTCAGACAGTGAAACGCAGCATTCAAAGGCTTGCAAGCAGGAAGTTCAGTCGACTGGTGTGTCTCTCTCTATTCTTATCACCCCGTTCACAGCCAGTCTGGCCAGGCTTGAATCACACCCACACATGCAGCACTGCTGCCCACAAATCTGCAGACAATCCAGGCTGTGCCAAGACACACCGGCCCCAAAAAGCTAAACCAAAGAAAAATAAACTAATGTTGCGAAGTGCGTCAGAAGGAAGTCTGTAAAACATTTCTGGGAGTGCTGCAGGAAGCCTTTTAAGGAAAACCCTGAACAGAGTTATCCTCAAGATAATTTTGCCTTCAGTTCTCTTCATTTGGGTGTCCTCTTCCTGCCTGTTCATCACATCACTACCTTCTACCCTGCGTGACACAAAGCAGGGCAATCATTCCAGACCAGGACTCTCTGAGGACCAACGACAGCGCTATCACACAGGGCTCTGCATGCAAGCTGGCATTGGGCCTGACCATGAAATGCACAGCCTAACTCTCCGTCCCTGGAAGCATAGCTTGGTGACCTGCAAAGTCCCTTTGAGATCAGCAAGCCTTGGCCAGTTTTCCAAGTCAGCGGTCTACTGCTCATTTTCTTGAAAAGCCACCAGTACAGAGCCTGAATGCCTAAATGACCCCAAAGACTGGTGCTAATGACTGACAAAGTATTGAATTGAATCACTGAAAGTACATTTTTAGTGTTGTCTTTTCTCCACCTCTGTAACCTACATTATAAAAGGTAGCTTTAACGGAGACACAAGACCTTAGAAAATATACCTGGAAAAATTGGTGTGCATTTTTCTCCTTAGAGCTTAAAAAAAAAAAAAAGAAGAAGAATTGTGGGCTTTATATTTTTTGACTTCAGATCTTTGTCCTTTAGAGGAAGGTGTCTGACTCTGACCCACAGCAGCTTGTACCCTCCTCTCTTAGACTATGTAACCAACCCCTCTCTGCTCTGGGCCACAGGACTATAAATAGACTGCATAAACAAGTAAATTATGCCGAAAATCAACCCCAGATATCTACTCACAAATGAAATCCTTGTTAAATATTTTTGTCACAATATGTTGGATCATTTATTACATACAACAAAAAGTCAATCGTTAATGGATAGACATGATTTAGTTGAAAGGAGACTTCCCTCGTTAAGAGACCTACTGTGACTTATAAGTATGGCTTTACTTCTCTCTTCTGGAACCCTAGGTATTCAGTGTTTCCATAATTTTCAGCTCAACCAAGATCTATTAAGTTACTGCCTACTAATGTGCTGGGGATGCACAGGTGAAAAGACAGCACTTCTATCCTCAAATCTTTAACAAGAGGTAGAAATAAACAGCAAGACATGGGGGCACATGCCTATAATCCCAGCACTCGGGAGGCTGAGGCAGGAAGATCGCCATGTGTTCAAGGTCAGCCTGGACTATACAGTGACTTCAAGGTCAGCTTGAACTACATTGTGAGCCCCCGTACCAAAAACAAAAACACAAAAAGAAGCACAAATAAGTTGTCAGTTAGAGAAACAGTGATAACAGAGGTGTATAGGAAATCTACATGAAAACTCTATTAATTCAAATACGGTAATGCAACTGACAAGAATTACAGAAAACAAATCTGCGTCCTCAGGGAAACACTCAGGCCTCTCTGGTGTACTGGGGCAATGTGTGGGCAGAGCATTTTCATGGAAGAACCCCAGAAGCAAGGATCCAGAACTAAAGAGTGTCACGGTGTGATCAGAGATCACGTGGAGAACGTGGCTGGGTGAGGGTGGGGGGGATGAGGGACCAACAGTCTTCCTCTTCACATCAGGACTCAAGGGATCCCAACAGATCCAAATAACAGGAATCAATATGCAGCGCACACCAGCAAGTCACAAACTCTGTTCTAAAAGCGAGTGGCAGAATGGGAAGAGGCAGCGCTGACGGTAAGTATACTTAATTTCCAGGAGTCCATCAACGCATGCTGCTGTCTCAATTATGTAGGCTAGATAGGAGGAGAACGTAAGAAGCAAGAGCTGAAAAACTTCTATGGTGTTGTATCTGTTTTTGGAGCTAAATCCCTCAGAGGTAGTAACTGGGTTTATTATAATCCCTTCTTTCTGGGCTCAGGGCAAATGGCTCTTCTCTTCCTCCCCCAAACTAGATATGGCCTTCAGACTTGCACGTGCCAACGAAACAGGAGAAGCTGTGAGTGTCACTCCTGCAGGAGCAGCCAGAGAATGAATCACTGCATGCCTTGCTTTGCAACGGCACAGTAACCTTCCAATCCTGCTGGCTCCCTCGGCCTGAGTCGCGAGTGAGGAAATGTGGCACACAGGCCTCGGTGTGCCCACGCTGGCCGTGAAATGTGACGGAGAAATACATCTATGTTGTTTTAAACCCTCTAAGCTATACATTTTTTTCTTTTATTTTTTCCTACAGAAAGTTACTATGACTGTTAAACTGTGCTTCATTTTAGGCTGAAAACTGCCCAAAACTTGGAGAGGAGGGACTCAAAGATCGACTAAAGAAATCTCAGTTACTGACACTGCGTTATGTTTTGAGTCCAACATACCCACCCCTCCCAAAGGCTCGTGTTACAGTTGTGTCTGCATGTCCCCTCAAAGCCTCGTGCAGTCATGGGTAGATTTCTAGAGTTCATGACTGATCTATGGTCCAGTGCTGGGATTATGGGTGTGCTTGCTACACCCACCCTGGGGCAGGCAGCCTGCATACGATATAAGGGAAGGAAAGAGGCTTGCTCTTGCTCCTCCCTTTTTGCTCTTGTTGCTTTGCTGTCTTCTGCCGCCATGGACTGTTGCCCTCTGTCATGTGCCGCTCTGCCTTGGAGCCAGCTGAGTACGCACTGAAACCTCCACAATCTGTGAGCTAAATAAACCTTTCCTTCCTTAATTCTGGATATAGGGTATTTTGTCCCAGCAATGAGAAAAGGAACCAAGACAGGTCGTGTGCTGAAGGATAGCTGCTTTTGGGAAGTGACTGGGTCATGAAGGCTTTAACCA